TATAGATTTTGATATTCGAAATAATAATTTAAAATCAAACTACTAGTATACCAGAAGAAAATCATTTGATGAATTTGGTTTTGAACTACCAGAATAAACACTAATTATGAATTCAGATGATGGGATTTCTAGAATGCACCCACATATAACCCAAAAACATTTCACTGTGCTGTTAAAGAGAGGTAATCCATCAATAAATTGACAAAAATCCATCAATAAATTGACAAAAACTCAACTTGGAAAGATCAGAATTTATATTTTGTTCAATTAAAATAATAATTACAACAGAAATCTAACGATAATGATAACAGCGTCAACATAATTCATTAAAAATTATAGATTCCTATAAGTGAAAGAATTTATTTTTGTTTATTTCAGGAGCATGGTGTTCAAAAATTTATGCAAGTTATTGACTGGGATTGGTTGTTTGACTTATTAATGATCTGCTTCTTATACCCCTAGATCACAGAACTGAAGTTTTACATGTAAAGCCCGTCTGCTTCATGCCCTGCTGCCTTGTAGGATACGCAAAGGCTAGGAGATGCTAACTCCGACATAAAACACCCCCTGCCTTGGGGATCTTGGTTGAGTAAAGGCTAGAGATGGTGCCTCGATATAAATACTCATCTTGGGCAGATGTTAAATGCCTCCGGCTGCTGTCTTGTAGAAGGCTTTCTAGGCAAAGACTTAAGGGGTAAACAGATTTTATCTGTTGACCAGCCTCACACCCCTTCTCTATCTATTAGGTTGGCGCAGATGTATTTTTAATACATTGTTTCCAGTTTAGGATGTTGAATGCTGGATCTTCTTGACCCGATGCATGGGTTTTGCTTGTGTCTCTGTTTTTATGACTAGGCAACTCATTCTATTATCTCCTAATAAGGGTACAGCTCAAAAATACAGTTTTATGGTTCTGAGGCCGGCTGGTAGTCAGGTTTCCCGAACTCTGTGGTAGCTGTCAGAGAGGCTGATTCTATCAACAGCTGAAAAATATCAAAGTACTAACAGTGCCATGTTGCGCATGGATGGTGTCTTTATTTGTACTTTTGGTGTGCATTGCCGAGGCCAAATTGGAGCCCTTCGTTACGGTTTAGGATTTATTAATAGTAATGAGGCAATTGCTTGGGCTATAAGACAGTGTACTGAGTACTATCTATGTTTTGAGTCAAGTTTTTTAACAAATTTAAAAATTAATTAAGTAACAAAAACTATGAAACACAAAAAACCACAGTCATTACCAAGTTCGCTAAACCTATCATTCCCTAATATTTGTGGTCTTCGAAGTAACTTTTTATCTGCTAAGTCTTATCTCTTGCAAAGTTCATCAGATCTACTTGCTCTTTGTGAGACTAATTTGAGTTCAACTGTCTCATCTTGTGATCTTAGAGTTGATGGTTATCTCCCTTTAATTCGTAAAGACTCCAATAGTCACATGCTTTGTCTGGACATTTACATTCGTAAGAATTCACCCATTTGTCGGGAATCTAGGTTTGAATCCACAGACTACTCTTTTATGTGCTTACATTTAGCACCACTTCATTCTATCACCTTTTTCTTTTTTCTATATTGCCCTCCTTCATTTCAAGACTGCACTCTTCTTGATGTTATTTCTGATCATATTGACCAAGCCCTCTCTCTTTATCCATCGCCCAATATTGTTGTTGTCGGTGACTTTAATGTTCATCACACTGAATGGCTTGGCTCTAGTGTCAGTGACTCTGCAGGCATTAAAACCCACAACTTTTGCCTTTCTCAATCCCTAACTCAAATAGTAAACTTTCCAACTCGCTTTCCAGACAACTCGAATTATTTACTTTCTCTACTCGACTTATGTTTTGTTTCTGATCCTAGTCAGTGTTCAGTTTCTTCAAATTCACCCTTAGGTGTTTCTGATCATGGTTTGATCTCTCTAAAACTATTATCTCATTTTTCTTTATCATCGGAATCTTCCTATCATCGTACAACTACGATGTACATCGTACATCGTACATCGTACATCGTACATCGTACAACTACATCTTACAACTACCTTCCCAATGGGCAAGCGCCGTCCGAAGGACGTCGTAAGCACGTTACATTTAGGTCGGTCTATCCCGGTACGTAAATGTAACTTCTTTAGGACGTCCTTTCGTCTCTGAATAAATTATTATATAAAAGGACGTCCCCAGGACGTCACATTTGCGTAACGTAACGGACTTAGTTAAAAGTACCGTCCTTATTCTTTTAACAATATTCCTGAAAAAAAGGCTTTTCTATACAAGATCGTAAAAATTTAACGCTTTACTTTACTTAAATATCATTATTATGTCGACAAAAAGTCAAAGAAAAATTGATATAGAGAAAAAAGCGAGGTAACTTTCGTTAATTCTTTATTTTAAATATTACTAATTTATGTTTGTACTGCTACGTAAAGCTATATTATTCTATATTTTAACTGCTACCTAAACTTTGAGTAGTGCTTATAGTAGGTACGTGGACTAATTTTTTTAATTTATTTAAATACTAAAATGTTATATATAATTAGAAAGCCCTCAAATGCAGTATTTCAAAGAAAAAATTACGAAAATTGGACAATTCTATCAAAAGTTATGACGTTTTTAGTAGCAAATTTTCTATATATTGATTTCTTGATAACACTGTGGTCAAAAACATTTTTTTTTTTTTTTTACATAAATTGTTATAACTTTGACTATTCTTATTCAAAAATCTATAACTTGGTATCAAAAGATAGGTGTAAAAATGGTCTTTAATTTAAAATTTATTTCTAGTGCTAATTCACCACCAACACCGCACAAAAAAACACTTTTTCTACTTAAAATAGAGTTTTTTTATATGAAATTGATAATATTTATGTATAACATGTTGGTATTATTTTATTCTACATTACTAGCGAGTATTACAGGTCTATCTTAAAGTTGGGTGTTAGGTTGTTGGTAAGGTTTAATACACCCTATCAAAATTTCATTCTTTTAAATATTCTAATATTTACTAAAATGATTAAATTATAAAAAAATAAATATAATATCTCAATACTATGAAAAATAGTAACTAGTGGTGTATAAAAATTGCCTTTTTTGAAGTGAGGCAGATGCCGCCCCCTGTCGCCCTAAACATGAAAAAAAAAATTTAATGACAATTTCACAAAAAATGTTAAAATGCTTTCTTAAACAGAGATTATAAAACTAATATATAATAAATTGGTAATAATTGATAATACAACATAAAAATATATATTTTTAAAAGAATATACTAACAAAATATCATACATACCTTATACAATCAAGTAATTGTTCAACTATGGTCCAACTAATATTTAAATCTGAATAATGCAAATCAATTTTTTAAGAACTGTAAATAAAAGCCTAATTATTTAAAGATAAAATAATTTTTACAAAAGTCAAACAAAGATTTTAAATCAACTAAAATAAGAAAACTAAAAAAGTATGCAAAAGACTCATTTAATAACACTTAACATTTAAAATGGTACTCATTTTAAAACTTGCATTTAATATAGGCTATAAAATTCTCATGACACTTTATTTGCATTTGAAAGTGGTAATTATCTATGGGTACCACTTTTAAATTTGTTTTATCACATACAACATTAAAAACATGTAAAATATTTATTGCAACTACTACACTTATTAGTTCTTAAAATTCTTTTTTATAATTATTTTGGCAAAAAATTTAGATGAAAATAAAAAAATGCCAAAAATAATTTAATTTAAAAATTGTTACAATAAAGAAAACAAGTTATTTTTCTTTAAAAATATACAAACTAATATTGTATATTTTTAAAGAAAAATAAAGGAATAGTGGAACCATGTTAACTTTTTAATTGTTTATATTGAAGTTAACATAATGGCTGCCACCATTCCTTCTTTGTCGACCTCTTCTGGCGCAACCACTTCCTGTACCCCCTCTGCTGTTGTCCCCAGCACGCCTTTTTGGGGGATAATAGGGCCATCTAAAAAGGGGGTCATCTTTGCCCCCAAACCTGACCCAACGCAAATATGACTTGTTGCTGTTGGGTCCAGGATGCTGGGTCCTGTAAATTTTGTAGGCTTCATATGTAAGCTCTATAAAATAAATAATAATTATATTAGTAACAAATGGCATTATGTAACACTTAATACAAATCTAAATATATAAAATTATTGACTAATAAATCACTTATAGGTAAACAAATTTTTAATAAGAGTAAAAATTTAAATACTTTCTTTTGAAGAAAGTATTTAAATTTTTACTCTTATTAAATGAGAACTCAAATGAGAACACAATATAAATGTATTAAACAGTGTATATTAATAGGAATAATAAAAATTTGATAACCATTTAGATACATTTTTAACACATAAATTTACCAGCAGAAGGTTGAGCAGGTGAAAATAAAGGTAGAAAAAGTTGTTATTTAAAGATATTTCAATTGCTGAGAAATGCGCACACATTAAAAAGTAATAAGTTTTTAGACATACCAGTTGTTGCAGATGAACATGAAACTAAGGTTAAAAAGTTGTAATAAGAAAAATTGCAATTAATGAAAAATGCATACACAAGTATTAGTAAGAAATTAAAATTTTTAAAATTTACTAATTGTAGAAGATGTACACGATCCTAAGGTTAAAAAGTTGTAATAAAAAATTAATATAGCAAATGATGAATAATGTACAAACATATTAATAAGTAATATTATTTAGACATACTACTTGATGCAGACAACGATAAAACTAAGGTAAAAAAGTTGTAATAAAAAACAAATAATGCAATTGATGAGGATGTTCCATTGTACCAGATGAGGATGCTCCTCAGTTTAAAAAGTTTTAATAGAAAATAAATATTGCAATTGTTGAGAAATGCATACACATATTACACAGTAATAGTTTTTAAACTTACCACTTGTTGCAGTTAGAGTTGGAACAAGGTTAAAAAATTGTTATAAAAAATAAATATTGCATTGACATTAAATATATTCACAAAATAAAAATTATTGTTTTTCAAAA